AAAAAAAAAAAAAAAAAAAAAAATTCCTAAGAGGAACAACCCAATTGACCGACATAAAAAAGATGTATATCCATTTTTTTTCCATTGTACATGCACTATACCATACAAAGGTATCCAACCTACGGGATTGGAACCAGTGACCTAAAGATGACTATTTGAGATTTCAAACTACAGTCTTCCGCTCTACCAACTGAGCTAAAGTTGGTTGTTGACCTACTAATTCGTTTAAAATTTGATGTCAGTAGTATAGAATTTTATGTAAAAAAAAAATCGACATATTTTAAAATTTTACACATTATATTTAGAAATATTAACCCCTCTAAATAAATAAATTTAAGTACAAATACACCTTCAACCAATTAGCTATAAAAATTGGTTGTTTTGAATTTACCTATACTATACATGTCAATAAGGAAAGGTAAGAAGACAAATCATGTTCGGTAGTGGCGATATCCTTCTCATTCCTGAGGTTCGAAAATCCTTTTACCCACCCCAAGTCTAAATTTTCATTAGGTTATAAAATTCTCTATAAAAAAATCCCTTGAAAAACGGCCGAAAACCCATGTTTATATTAAAAAAAGAAAAGAAAAAGAAGTTATGTTTCGACGCTCTCAACCAGTGTCTCGATGTTAGCCCAAAAATGCATGGACAGAGATGGATGGAGAGGAGGCTTTGGTGTCTTGACACTCTCAGCTAGCGTCTGGATGCAGGTTGAGAAGACTCGTGAACTCTTTCTTTATTGATTTTTCTTATTTATAGCCTGAATAAGATGGCGAATTTTAATATATTTCCGTACCAAATAATAATATTTATGGATTTAATCACAATTCAGGTCATCTGGACAACCCGACCTAAGTAACCGTAGATTAAAAGCACCTCAGTTTTGGGGCCTGGAGGAGAGGTATAATAAGTAGGGGATAAAATTTATGAGAATCAAAAGTTATAAATAGATGAGTTCGATTGAGAAAGGTTGGGGCGGGTGACAAGAAAAGCCTTTATGTGTTTGTACATCTCTTTTGGCTTCTCTGCATTGATCGCATGCCCTGCGTCTTTCACAACAGCTAACTCTGCGTTTTCCCCCAAGTGCCTGAAATTTCTTCATTTTAGTATTCAATTTATGATATTAAATTCTCACTAATTTCATCAAATTAAGAGTTCTGGTTCATACAATTTAACATATATAGACCTCAAAACCAACCATTTTTCTGTCTCACTTATCAAAATTTTGGTCATATTTTCCTGTTAAAAGGTAGGTTTTATCCAAATTAATGATGGATGGGTAAGAAACCAATGAAGAAGTGTTGTTCTTAATCAACACATCTTAAATCTCTCTAACCATCCATTTTTAAACTTTGAAATCCCCAAAAACAGTAACTCTCCAAATTAATGATGGGTAAGAAACCAGTTAAGAAGTGTTGTTCTTAATCAAAATATCTTAAATCTCTAACCATCCATTTCTAATTTTTGAAATCCCCAAAAACAGTAACTCTCCAAATTAATGATGGGTAAGAAACCAGTTAAGAAGTGTTGTTCTTAATCAACATATCTTAAATCTCTAACCATCCATTTCTAATTTTTGAAATCCCCAAAAACAGTAACTCTCCAAATTAATGATGGGTAAGAAACCAGTTAAGAAGTGTTGTTCTTAATCAAAATATCTTAAATCTCTAACCATCCATTTCTAAATTTGAAAGCCCCAAAAACAGCAACTCAAGAGATTAAAAGGTTTCTGAAAATACCTTTTTAATCTGTGTGCCAACTCCAAAGGAAATACTCTGTCTTGTTCTCCCCATAGTATCAGCGTAGGCTGCATTCCCAAATTTAAGGAATCATTGATATAACAGTAGAATATAACCAAACGAGGTTTGAAAAAAAAAAAAGTGAACGAACAATATATTCTAGTTAATTAGAGATGCAACTTATTTTTCTATAATGTCTAGCTACATATAAAAAGATGTTCTTGAAATTCTTTTGAAAATACTTCGAACTTCTTTCATTAGAGATGCTTAATAATTATAGTTCTTTTTATCTATATTGATATCACATGGGTATGAGTTGGATATTAAATCTTCGATAAGTAAATAAAAACTTATTCGAATTCTCCAGCTTATGAGATAATGAATTGATATACATAGTACATAGATTAGTACACTATTTTTTCTCATCAATCTCTCTCTATATAGATACTAATTTGGATAGCAATTCAAAGAAAGGCATTTAAATTACTTAAATATAAGAAATTTACGAACCTTGTTGATCTTCGGAAGAGTAGAAAGGTTCCTGTCTTTAAGTATTTCTTTAATCAACTCTTCTTTCTCTTGCTTGAATTCTGTGCACATCACCTATTACCAGAAACACAAACCAAAACTCTATTAGCAATGCGATCAACCTATTTAATATTCAAAATTTGAAAATACTGCAATCATTCTTCGCAACATGGATTAGTCCCGCAATGCTGATCAGAATAATTGTTTTAAAACCTGATTGGTTATGGGTTAGCATTATATGAGTTCCAAGTTGAAAATATCCTTGAATTTTTTGTAAGGATGCCTCAATTTGACAAACAGACGAAATCAGAACAAGTAAACAAGAAAAATTCAGAAGCACAATCACTCACAACGATGAAATCGTCCATTATACAAGTGGGTAGAATTCGAGCAGGCTTGACGAAGGTGAGGCGGAGAAGTTCCTTGAGCTTCGCCGGTGTTTGAGGTAGCAAAATACTAGCGGCCTCATCGACGTTCTTCACGACGAACATCCCGGCCGCCATATCCCTCTCTTCCAAGCAAACTCCGGCGCAACAGAGCACCAATCTCTCCAATCGCTCCGGAAATTGATCGGCCATACTATACGTTACGAAGCCACCGTAGCTAATTCCAACGACATTCATCGTCCGAACTTCAAACGAATCCATTAGATGCATCATACAGAGAGCCTGAAACGAGACTGACCTCTCCGGCCGAGTCGTATACGAATTACCGAAGAAAAGTAGGTCAGGAACGTAGACATTGAAGAATCGGATCAACCGTGATATGAATTCGTTCCATTGCCACATTGCGTTGGCTCCAAATCCATGGAGGAGCAATAAATTAGGTTTCGATTCTCTCCTGGTTTTGGGCGCCCAACAGTGGATGATCGTCCCATCGCCAAAATCGGTGGTGATGGATTTAAGGCCTGCCCTAGAGAAATAGTACCGATAACACGAGTCCAAGGTGGCAGAGAAACTAAAACAACCCGCCATTATTGGATTCAAAAACTCGGATTTTCTCAATCAAATCAGAATCTGCGAGAAAATCCGAGTGAATGTAGAGTTCGAAGAAATCAACAAGCTCCCAAAGGGGAGAAAAGGTAGAAAAGCTTGAGGAATTTAGATCGAAGAATCTGGAATAGGAGAGCGTAAAGAATTTCCAGTTACTTCGGGGTAATAGAACAGAAAATTTTCTCCCCGCTTCGGGGAGATCTTGAAACCGTGAAAATGGTGAGGGAAACTGAGATTAAATAATTAAATGCTCGTTGGCCTTTTACGAACACGACAAAGACGGCCACGAAAAAAGCCTTCATTCTCCGACCACAAAGGCCTGCCGGTGCATAAACCTCGCCTCTCAACAGATGCCACTTGTTTCATTTTGTTTGAATATTTAAAATGGAAAATATAAAATTAAATAACGTAAAATATAGTTACGTCATTTCATATGTTACTTTCCCATATTTTAAATATGTTTGGTCCATAATTCGATATAACTTTTTCTTTTTTTATCTTTATTGTTATTTTTTTTTATCTATTGTACTTAAAAGACAATTGTATTCAAATATAATGCGAAAACAAACAATTTTATTGTGCTTAATACCTACTTAAATTTTTATAATTGCTTTCTATATATTAAATTATTTATATATATATATATATATATATTAAAAAAAAAATTGTCACAAACAATAATTTTTTTTATTTTTTTTTAGCATAAGACAAAATTGTTGTATCCTCCCTCATCTAGATGGTTCTCTTATATTCTTGTGTGGCCATTTTTCATTCTATTTGTAAGAAAGATCATCGATCTATAGTAAATAGAGTATGATGTGTTTCTTGATTTGAAAGTAGTTCATTCACGGGTGAGATTTGTATTAACATTTTTTCATTGGTTTAAAATGAAAATCAATATCGAGGGAAGTTTGATAGAAATCGTAGAAGCAAAAACAACGACCAACATCGAACACGTTCGAGGACAAAAATAATATGCAAATAATGTAAAACTTTTAATGTTGGGGACTTGTGGATTGAACTGGATCCAATGGGCTAATAATTCAATGGGCCCATACCATGACTTGAACGACTAATAATTATATTACCAAACTTTTGGTATTAATTAATATTGACGCTCACAGCTCATCTCATTTTAGGTATTTGAGTAGTAAAAAATTTCAGTAGATTTACGTATAAGCCACTTGGAAACCTCCAAATTCAACCAACAACAACCCATTTTTGCTCATAATCATGTAAAAATTTTCCACTAATTATATGATTGCTTTGGGCAAAGTCGGCATTTCGCCTACCCATTTACCAATATTTTACTATCGGACAAAGTTACCAAAATGAATTATGTTTTTTAATGTTGAAATTTGAATTAAGTAAAATTGTCATGTAAAAATTTATGTAGAAAGCGTAGGTAGAGGAGGTTGGGGCAAATGATTGAGGGGTTTGGCTTTTGGGTTGGCGTGGGGAATTTGCTAATAAATTATAACCATATTGTTGGAATCACGGAAATGGATCATTACAATACAGTAGGACTGCACATTAAAAGAAGAAATTAGAAACGAAAAAGAAATTTAAAAGAAAAAAAAAAAAGCCCTTATTTTCCAACTTTTATCCCAAAAGAAAAAAAAAAAAAAAAAAAAAAAAACAAAGGAAGGAAGGAAGAAAGAAAGAAAAGGAATAAACAAATTAAATAAAAGCCAAGGAACAGAAGGTTTAACAATGGCAGAAGATTTGTTGAATGGGTAGCAGCTTCACTTCACGCAGTAGCAGCACTCACACGAATTGGTTTTCAGCTTGTTTTCTACTTCTCTGTCTGAGCTTCTTCTTCTTCTTCTTCCTTCGTTGCCTCTTTTTTCAGCCTTTTTCAGTTCATTTCAGGTCACGAATCTCGAGGATCATTCGCCTTTTTCTGCTGCCCCAAATCTACTTCTCCATCTCCTCAGGTACTTGTTTTTGGATCTTCTCGTTTATTTTTAGCCAATACTCGTATCTGATCCCTGTTTCTCTTCTGGAGTTTGTTGAGTTTTTGTTCTTGGCTGTTTCTCTCGTGTTCTTGTCCCCTACATTTCTCAATCGTTGATTAGCTGTGGTGAGAGTGTTTCGTTTGTGGCAGGGTGAAGTGCTGAACTGTTGAGAGATGAGAGTTGGAGATTAGTATGATGAGTGGTTGGACAGTGAGAAATTTCTACATAGATGTGCTTAAATTGATTTAAAAGTCCAAAGATGCGTTCAGTTTCGTGTTAGTCTTCTGGTTTTAGTTTCAGAGTTTCTGAAGTACTTGAAGTATTTTAAGAAGACGTAATGTTTAGATATTGAGAGTAGAAAATATTCAGTTTATCGTGAACTTTATGTAATTTTGGTTTAATATTACGCAAGTTCAAAAGTGGAATTAGATTATTTTTTAAATAATAGAATTTCAATTCATAAAAGAGTTGTTATGTTCATCAAACTCTTCGCTGTTGACTAAGTTTTTGTTTTCTTGAGCTTGAGAAAATGAATTACGATGACAAAGAAGTTCGAAATAAAAGCATGATGTGTTTCCAATTTAATCCGAAGAAATGTTGTTTTTAGAAATGTAATTCAGGTTTCTTGTAGTCTCTCATATACGAGTTGAGGCTTTCCCTATGTGACTGTAACTTTGGTTCGTTCGGGTAGTATCCATACGCACTAATTTAGTTGACTGAGCAGCTATTGAAATTGAAGTTCCAGCGAGTTAAAAAAAGTACCCTCCCTTTGACCCCCCTCCTTATGAGGTATAACTCTTTGGAGTGTATGCTCATAACGACTAACTCAAAACTATGTAAAAGTACCCTCCCTTTGACCCCCCTCCTTATGAGGTATAACTCTTTGGAACTGCCACACTTGTAGCCTGGTCTATCATTCTTATTGCGGCCTTGCCTTCTTGAAGGACTTGTTGGCATGCGCCAATGTATCATTAAAGATCTTGTACCAAGTAATTTAAGAAATATTAACTTTGGACAATCATCTCAGTTCCAATGTATTTGACTGTCAATGGATGATTTTTTTTTTTTTTTTTTTTTTTTGGCAGATATAGCATAGCAATGGCTCTTGTCATCCTTTTTGCATGGATTTCATGACGTCAACCAATGAAAATGATGCTAGTTAGGATGGGAGAGCTCTATCTTACAATTCTACTACTGGCTTGCTTTCATAATTTTGCGCTGTCTGATTATCAAGGTATGAATTGCATCTCAGGATGGCATTTGCAAATTGAGATGTCTCTTGTTATACTGCTGCTCATAGGCTTGTATCTTGACTATCTAATCTGTGATGTGGAGTTAAGAGTTGTCCATCTCATTAATCCTCTCGCTGTTTGTAGGTTGTTTTTATGTTCTAGAGTGGAACAATTTATATAGAAATTAAAGTTTGATTTATTCCTCTTGGTTGACAAGGATAAACAATCCATATGCAAGTTAAATGACAGTGGGTATAGGACATTTTTTCAATGTAATTAAAGTTTATTTTTTGAAATTATATAGTTGTATCGTTCAAGCTGACAAGAGAAATGTATCTGATATTTTTCACACTTTCTTTTGATATGAAACAGACCATCGTTTTGTCACATGTAACACTCCTTTTCTACCATCTTCCCTTTTTTACTTTATGATTTCTTTGTCGGATTGTATAAAAGAAACTAATGTGAACGCCTTTTTTTTTCTTATAAAAGAAACAAATGTGATTTTTTTAGAAAACAAATGTGATTCTTTTAGAAAACAAATGGTTTTATAATGTTATTTTCTCTTCAATCTCTGATTATCTAATTGTGCAAATTTGTTAATAATTGCTATTGTACTGATATACTCTACTTGTTTGACTCCTTGATGTTTGTCCTTCTGCTCTCCTCTAGGTGATGCTCTCTTTTCACTGAGACGCGCATTGAATGCAACAGAAAATCAGCTCACAGATTGGAACCCAAATCAAGTCAATCCATGTACTTGGACCAGTGTTATATGTAATGGAAACAATGTGATCTCTGTGTAAGATATACTTCAATGTACTCATTTCCCTATTTTTCTCTTGAGTGTTGCTGTATTATACTTTTTACTTGCCAATATAAAAGCTTTCAAGTCTGGACTTTGCTTATGTTGCATTTAACTTTCTCAGATCCTTGTCAGCTATGGGCTTTACTGGAACTTTGTCCCCGAAAATTGGAGTTCTCAAATCACTTTCAACGCTGTGAGTAGTGTGTTCTTGTGTGTCCAAGAACTTGCCCCCTAAATACTTCATGTTGCATGATTTAACCGGATGTTTTATTATACTTTTCTCGATTTTTTATTGTTGTGTGGTTTCATTGTGTGTAATATAATATACACACACACTTAAGGTCATCTTGGATAAAACTTTGTTTTGTTCGATGAACAGAGTTTTGTATTGTAAATATGTATCGTATTAAAATTTCATAATTGGAACTTGCCTTTTATCATTGATTTTTCAAAGAAATCCCAATGTAAAAGATCAAAAGTCTTCAACCAACTGAGAAATACTATTTTCATTAAAGCACTAAGCTTGCTTAATAGCTGCCGAACTGTATTCTTATTATTGGATTTCCTGAAATTTACCAAGCCTAAGATTTTACTCTCTAGGAAGGTATAATTGCTTGCATCACTTGGTCTGACTGTCTCGTTTATGTTTATAGTTTTGGGAAAGGGTTAGAACGAAGGCATGCTTATCTCTGATAACCTTAAATTCTGAAAAGCATATTATAATTTATTGGCCGTTAAATTTGTAAACTTGGTTTTGAAGTGCATGTATATATGCTTGTTGACGATGAAGTGTAGAGCATCTTCATTAATATATATTCATCTACTACAGGATTTTGCAGGGGAATCACATAACTGGAGAGATACCGAAGGATTTTGGAAACTTGACAAATTTGGTCAGTTTGGATTTGGGAAATAACAGCCTAACTGGCCATATACCATCGTCCCTGGGTAATCTTCAGAAACTACAGTTCCTGTGAGTAGTTGTCTCCAAATGATCTGTAATTTCAAAGACATTTTATGAGCGTCTACAATGCAGATGGTTTATTTTTGAGTTAATGAGTCGTTATTATCATTCAAGCAGAACTCTGAGTCATAATCGTCTAACTGGGACTATTCCTGAGTCACTCTCAAGCATTCCTAGCTTGATTAGTCTGTAAGTTTTCCATTTTGCGTCTGAGACTAAGCTTGAAAAACTTCGGACTTCATTAACCAAGTGTTCTTCAGTTCTTAATTTCTTGATTATGATTCTTCTACAGGCTTCTTGACTCAAATGATCTCACGGGCCCAATTCCGGAGCAGTTATTTCAAGCTTCAAAATTCAAGTATGTAGAACTTTTGAATACTATCTAGGTAGATATCTAATCACTGGAGAACTTGTTCAACAGTTACTTAGAAATCAAAGTTAGGAATGGCAGCGCTACCTTTTTCTAGTTGGACGTAGCTTGATTATCTTGGTTTGAGAAAATTGATGATTGGTACCCTAGGCTGTTTTTCCGGATGATGTTGAATCGTTTTGTTTATCACAGCTTTTCTGGAAACAAGTTAGATTGTAGCGGGAAGTTTCTGCATGCCTGTGCTTCAGACAGTTCAAACTCAGGTTATTGGATCAGATTTATCTTGGGCTTGGAGAACAGTTTTTCCTATATTTTGATTACTTTGTCACTCCTTAATTGGAAGAAAAATGTGAAAGTTTATCATCTTGTCAGGTTCTTCGAACAAACCTAAGGTTGGCCTTATTGTTGGAATTATAGCTGGGTTTACTGTTGCTCTCCTTTTGGTCGGTGTATTATTTTTCTTGTGCAAGGGTAGATATAAAGGCTACAAGCGCGAAGAGTTCGTAGATGTTGCAGGTAAATTTTGTGCTATTATTGAATTATTAATGTGGGTTATGCAATTTAAAGTATGCTTTTTTTGTGACAAAAACATTTATGCCATTTTTTTTTTGTAGTATTTAATGGAATAGGCATCTATCTAGAAACTAAATTGTTTTGTTTCTGTTTTTTGTTTGATATTTAAAGTTTAGACTATGTTACGAATTATCATATCAATTAAGATCCATGCGTTTATGGTATTTAAATATTTCATTTATCAATTCTCTTTATTTTTTATTTTTAGTTTTATAGTAATAAGTTGAGGACATATACCTTATTCAATTAAGCTATATCCAAGTTGACCATTAATAAACACTATGATATTTATATATTACATTTCCTTACAAAACAATTTCTGCTAAATTATATAATATATTAACTTACATTCTTTCACATGCTAATTAAAGTATAGCTATACTGTAAGTGTGCTTAGATTAAATAAAAATTTTAAATTGGAAAATTTGATAGTGATTTAAATTTACACTATAGTTATTTGCTTTAGGTTAAAATTAATATAATTAAAAATGTAATTTGTAATAAATGTTACATTAATATAAATTAATTTCACATAGAAGTTAGATTAAAACAATTAGTTAAAAAAAAAAGGTGAGAGTGTGACGTCGAACCTTTGACATTTTGATGGGGGTTAAAATGATTTTAACTATGCTTGAGTTGACCAAAATTAGTTAAACTAATGGTAAAGATATGGTTTTTATCAAAAGAGATATATTATTCGAATCACATGTCACTCATAGATTCTATTAAACAAATACAGTTATCTAAATAATTTAAAACATTCTCATAACGTTTTCCAACATAATAAACACTGTTATTCAACAGTAACAGAATTTTAGTCTCTCAAGCATCTAGATGTTTAGTAGATTCTCAACCAATAAACCTCAAAACATGCTTCTTTATAATTGCATGCTGAATTGTTTTAGATCACTATTTTTTTTTACTATTAAAATAACAGAGTTGTAGATCACTATTAGAATGCCATGTAGTTTCAAGTTAAATATATTTTTTCCAATTAGATTGATAAAGGACTAGGAACTAGTTTCTTGTGTTATTAACTGTTTGATGTCTTAATACGGTTGAAGGTTTTTGCCTCGCTTATTAACTTAACCATCTTGCATTTTGAAAAAAAAAAAAAAAAAAAACAGCCATCCTACGTTTTAAATGGAATACCCCTGGTAATGAACTGGAGTTTTTGTTGATTCCATTATCTTTGAGCTTTGTTTTCCCTGAATTTTCAATCAGGTGAAGTTGATCGAAGAATTGCATTTGGTCAGCTGAAAAGATTTTTATGGAGAGAACTGCAGCATGCTACAGACAACTTTAGTGAGAAAAATGTTTTAGGACAAGGAGGCTTTGGAAAGGTGTACAAAGGGGTGTTTGCCGATGGCACCAAAGTTGCAGTGAAACGGTTGACTGATTATGAAAGTCCAGGGGGAGATGCTGCTTTTCAGCGTGAAGTTGAGATGATTAGCGTAGCTGTTCATAGAAATCTGTTGCGGCTGATTGGGTTCTGTACGACTCAGACAGAACGCCTATTGGTGTATCCCTTTATGCAGAATTTGAGTGTTGCCTACCGTCTTCGAGGTATAAGGTGTTTTGGTAGTTTTTTATATTACATGATGCTGTTTGGAGCATTTCTTTGCTATATCACAAACAAGAGTGCATGATACATACTATATATGTATATATCAGATGCTTAATTTTTTTTGTCAGTTAATTCCATGCTGGAATTGCAGAACACGCTAATAATCTGTAGGTGAGTAGAAGAGACTGGAGATGACGTGCATTCAATTAATAAAACTAAGATCTAAGAAATTAATTAATTGGTCCAGTGCTTGTGTAAATACTGGATGTGGAATAGGGAAAATATTGGTTGTAGATCATTTATTTTCTGATTCCTTTATGGGAATTGTGAAGCATGAGCACTTGTATCATCATCATGATCATCTTCTTTTTTGATTATTGTGATTTTGAAGTTTTACGAAAAATTAACATTCTTCTAATAGAAGACAAATTGTCCTCTGCCGTGAAGATGTACTCAGTGTTGCTAGACTTATCATCCTGTCGGGCATCATTTTGTAGGAATTCCATTAAGAACGTTATTAGGCTATTAAGGGCATATTAGTAATTATCTGGGAGGTTTTAAGGGTATTTGGTTATAAATAAAGGGAGTGGGAAAGGAGGAACTTAGACAATCTTGTAGATGGATTAGTGAGCGATATCTCAAGAGGGAGGTTCCAAATACCTGAAATACTTGAGTTATGTTATAATTGCACTATCTTTGGTATTTCAATGAATTTGGGTTCTATCTAATTTAATTTGTCTATATAACAACCGAATATTCTGTCTTCTTCGTTTTTATGTAATAAATAACTATGTTTGGGCAAGTTGGAAAAGATTACGAGAAACTTTATATGATGGCCGTAGAGCAGGGTGGGGTTCTCATCTCTTGAATTGGAAGGTGGTATTCAGATTGTGTTTGGAATGATTGGAATAGGTGAAATTCCGTGTAGCTGGGTAATTTTAGCCACTTGTGGCGTTCTCTTTAGAACTTGAAGCTTTATGGAATAAGGTCAATATGTGCAAGTACGACCGTCGTTCTGATGAGTGCGATCCAACTTTTGTTTTCAGGAGCATCTTTAGGGACCCTTGGAAGACCATTATTTCTCAATGTCTTCCTATTTTTCTCAATTATGTGAAGTTTTTGGAACGTGATGGTAACTCTCTTTGTCTGGGAGGGTCCTTGGACGGGAAGTTGTAGCCTTCTGTATTCTTAGATTTGATAGGAAGTTGATCTTTCCTCTCATCTATCCCTTGTGCAATTTTTGGCTTCTGTCTTGTTAAGTTGATTTTGTTCATTCCACGGCTGACTTCCCTTTTTTTTTTTTTTTTTTTTTTTTTTTTTTTTTTTTTTTTTTTTTCACTTAGCTGTGGAAGGTGAAAGAAAGGGAATTATCTGCTTGCAATGGTGTGTTCATTGTAGGAAATACGTTGAAATTTCTGGGGCATGTCCTATGCTTTTTTGTCCTTTTTCCGTAAACATTTGAGCTAAGTTTCTATAGATCTTTGGGACATCTCTTGCTTTCCATTGCACTGGCGTTCCATCTTGATTTTGGAGTGCGCTTGTTTCAACATATTCCTTTGGATGCCCATCATGAAGCTTTTTAGCGATTTCCTGCCTTTTTTTTTTTTTTTTTATAGCTAACAACTAGGGCTCGTTCTTGTAATTTCTTTTGTTTACACTTGTTTGTACTTTCAATTAGGACTGTCATTCTATTTTGCTTTCATTTAGCCAAATGTTATTGTAATGCCACACTGATAAAGAGCTGCTATCGTTTTCTGCTGATTTTTTTGGCAATCTCCAATACAGAACTTAAGCCTGGGGAGGCTGCTTTAGATTGGCCTACTCGAAAACGTGTGGCATTGGGCACTGCTCGTGGTTTAGAGTATCTTCATGAACATTGCAATCCAAAGATTATTCATCGAGATGTTAAGGCAGCCAATGTATTGCTTGATGAAGATTTTGAAGCAGTTGTTGGCGATTTTGGCTTAGCAAAGTTGGTTGACGTTAGGAAGACTAATGTCACTACTCAAGTTCGAGGGACAATGGGCCACATAGCACCGGAGTACTTATCAACTGGAAAATCATCAGAAAGGACTGATGTTTTTGGTTATGGTATCATGCTTTTAGAACTTGTCACAGGGCAACGTGCAATCGACTTCTCACGCTTAGAAGAAGAAGATGATGTTTTACTACTCGACCATGTAAGTAAATATTGTCTGATTAGTATCTTATATGCTTCCTCCTTATGATAAATTTAATTGGTGTCATTATCATGGATTAAACACAAACACTAGCAAAATGTCTATGCTAATAAAAGTCAGGTCCATGTATTCTTAAATTACCACATCTAAATTCTCAAAATTTTGGCTCATTTTCACTCCATGGTGGCTAATTTTCGTGTCATATTGGCTATGAAGGTTAAGAAACTAGAAAGAGAAAAGCGACTCAATGCTATCGTAGATCGGAATCTAAGTAACTACAACATTCAAGAGGTGGAGATGATGATCCAAGTTGCATTGCTTTGCACACAGCCGTGTTCGGATGACCGTCCAGCAATGTCGCAAGTCGTTCGAATGCTCGAAGGAGAGGGATTGGCAGAGAGGTGGGAAGAATGGCAGCATTTGGAGGTTACTCGCAGACAAGAGTATGAGAGACTGCAGAGAAGATTCGAATGGGGAGAAGATTCAATTCATAGACAGGATGCAATCGAATTGTCTGGTGGAAGATGAGGTACAAAACTCATCTCCAACTCTCTCTCTCTATTAATCTAATGAATCTCTCTAGATAGAGACCATATGACAATTATTTTTGTTAGGTCAGTTTGACGTGGGCCATCATCCTTAAACCATATTACACAAACTTAAACCAGTCAAGAAATCCTTGCCTTCCCATCCTCCGTTCTGTAAATTCTCAGTGGCTTCTGCTCTCTTTCATTTCTTGGCTTTTGCATCTTCCTATAATCTCGTGTCCTCCATTTTAACCTTTGCTGTATCTGAACTCTGTAATCCAGCCATATCAACAGTCCTCATATTCACGTCTGCCATAGCATTTGTCATGTTATAGTGATCATTTTTATTTAAGATTTCAAATACATTAGTTACTTCCGTCCATGTATTTAAATCCTACAGCCCCAGAACTTTGATTTTTAGGCTTTTTAATTTTAGAAAATTTTAGTTGCATCCTTCAATTGGTCGGTTTTATTTAGTTTTTATAATTTTCACCGTTAATAGATAATTGGACAAAAAAAAAAAAAAAAAAAAAAGAAAAAGGCTATGAAATTTGCGTTACTGTTTTATTTTATTTTTCTTTCCTCCTGGAGTTCCTTGTATTAGGTTATGATGATTCAGCCAAAAGGCCCCAAGGTTTTTCATTGATTTTTCTTTGCTGATTTTCCCCTTCCATTTCATATTCCTCAAAACTCAGAGAGAACTGATATTTTCACTAATTTGATTAAATAACTGAAATAACCCAAATAACCCAAATCTGCAATTTCGAAAACCCTCAACCAATCATTTTTATTGACGTCATTTTTATTAACGTGTCTATAACGCTAAAGACTAAGTGAGTGAAGGAAATTGATAAGAACAAACCAATAAGCAATCACACGTGTTGCCTTCGCCAAAGCAAGATGCTTGTGATCTAAATTTAAAAAGTACAAATCATTATAAAATTGACAAATTGGCCCATTATATATAATATATTTTTTTAAATATCGAGTAGCTCACCCAAAGTTAAATTATTCTAATTTTTCTCTTTTAAATTTTTTTCATCTATTCCTAACAAAAACACATTTAAATTAAATTTTTTTGTGATTGAATTACTTAAAAAAAAAAAAAAAAAAAAATATATATATATATATTTAAATATTTTAAATTATAATAAAGGAGTGGGGACTCACAAAAATAAAGTAAAGAAAAACTAAAAAAGAAAGAGTACGTCAACGACTACCAGGTCCAAGTCCACGGTATGCCGTGGGGTCACACTGTGTATGGGCATTTTTCCACCATGAAATGACTAATATTATTATTCATTACACTACACTATTTTTCTTTGTGTAATTCAATTTTGTTTTGGCTTGTGAAATTAGAAAGTTTCCTAAATTTGAAATTATGTTAGTCTACATACTTAGAAAAAGGATATCCACCACCCTAGTTGAACTTTCATTTTTTTTTTTTTTTTTTTTTTTTTTTTTTACAAAAATCATATTTTTAGTAACATAAAACTAATCGAAGTTTAAATTACTGTCATCGTTTTCAAATATAAGGAAAAAAATAGTGATTAATTTTTCTATTAATAAATTAATAGCTGCATCAAAATTAATAGTAATGAATATAATAAACGACTAAATAATACCAAAAAATCAATCAAAATTTGCCCAGCATTTTTATTTACAAAATTCAAACAAATGTGCAAGACATTAAACACATTAAAATTTGGAAGACATTAAGTGGATATAAGTAAGCGGACAAATGTATTAGAAATTATTTATTTATCTTTAAAGCAATATTTCTAATTTCCCATCAACAATAAAAATTTAAATATATTTAATATATAGTTTTTTTTTTAGTTGGATCAAGTAGGTATCACGCGAACTCTTCCAAATAGCCCAATATTAATTTGCTAAAGCCTTGAATGTACTGCAGCTTCCTTCAGGCTGCAGCACCTCTCTCTAAACTTCTCATCTGCTCCTTCCCCACAGGTACTTATTTGGATCTTCTCTTATCTTTCAGTGCCTCTTCGTATTTACATCTCGTTTCTGTTCTCCAGTTTGTTAATTAGTCATTTACTTTTTTGATCCTTGGCTACTTCTCCTCTGTTTGATTCTTGTTGATCATTTTTCACGCATCGAATCATTTTTGTCAGTTTGAGGTCACGAGGACGAATTTGATGGATAATTGGAAAATTAGTAATTTAAAAGAATAGAAGTAGGTTTAGTTGTAGTCTGTTCTGGATAATAGAATTCGAAGTTCAACCTGAAGGTCAACTTGAGAACTCTAGGGAGAAGTGTTGACTACCATGGACTTCAAACGCTTTCCCATGGGTAATCTATGACCAAGGAATTTTGTGGTTATCCTTTCTCAACCATCACTGACTTGAATTTGTATTTATTTTATTTTAAAATATTTATGTCTTTTAGTTGAGTACATGCATTCTGGGTTTTCAGAAAATAGTATATTTATAAAATCATTAATTGTTAGTTAAGTTTTTGTTTCTTTGAAGTATGGGAATAAATTTATGATCAAAAAAGAAAATTTGGAATTAAATCACTAATCAATGTTTTCCCAAATCTAATATTTTTTTTCCACGAAATTTTGTCATCAGAAAGATGAAATTCTTGTGTGTCGTGTGTCCTAGATAGGAGTTAGAGGATTTCCTTTTTTAGTTTTATGCTGTTCCATTCTGATAAGTATCTAAAGAAGCTAATTTGGAGTTTGCTGTTTTTTTATGCGAACTTGGTAGGGATAGTAGTACTAAGCATTCTGAAATTACAAATTGATTGACTGGAGAATTGCCTTCCATTTCTTACCATTGGACACCAACCGTGATTTTTTTTTTTTTTTTTTTTTCTTGAGTTCAACAACAAATGTGAGGTGTGTTAGACAAACACGACTCTCCACAATGGTATGATATTGTCCACTTTGAGCATAAGCTCTCATGGTTTTGCTTTGGGCTTCCTCGAAAGGCCTCATTCCAATGGAGAGTGTATTCTTTGATTATAAACCCATGACCATTCCCTAAATTAACCAATGTGGGACACTTTCATCCAACACCTCCCCTCGAACAAAGTACGCCTCCCCTTAATCGAGGCTCGACTCCTTTGGAGTCTTAGTCATTTTTTATTGCCTTTGAGGAGGCTTGACTCCTTTTTCTTTTTGGAGTTCTTTGTTCGACATTTGAGAATTTGCCAATCTATTGGCACGACTAAGTTTAGGGCATGGCTCTGATACCATGTTAGACGAACACGACTCTCCACAATGGTATGATATTGTCCACTTTGAGCATAAGCTCTCATGGCTTTGATTTGGGCTTCCCCAAAAGCCTCATTCCATGGAGAATGTATTCTTTGATTATAAACCCATGACCATTCCCTAAATTAACCAACGTGGGACACTTTCATCCAACAAGGTGGAGGATTGAACCATTAACTTTTAGTATAAGTTTGACACACAACCTTTTTCTCAAAAGACATTTTTGCATTCTAGCTCAAATGTCAATAAGCAGTATATGTTGGTAAATTTATTTATATCAATATTCTCCCTTATGAGTTTGAATTTGTAGATGGCCCAACAAGTAGAGGTCTATATTAATTGGTGAGGAAATGGATTACAGGAGTTCAAACTTAAGACAGCATGCTCTCGGATACCATTTAAAACACCAATCAATAAAAAAACATGAGGTTATGGTAAATTTGATTATATCAACACTCCAACAGTTGGACATTAGTATCTTATCCCAAGTCCTAACTAATCATTCAAATGTTCAAGAACTGCTCTGCTTGTAGTCTGATCTATCTTTTTTAGCTTTGCCTTCTTGAAGGACTTGTTGGCATGCTTATGTAGCATTAAAAATCTTGTACCAAACAATTTTTGGAGTATTACTGTGCCAATATCTTTGACTGAGTAGATGGTTATTTTTGCAGATATAGCAATGACTCGATTAATCTTTTTTGCTTGGATTTCATGACGTTGCCCATGAAAATGATGTTAGTGAAGATGGGAAAACTCTATCTTACAGCTCTAGTTCTGGCCCTCTTTCATTATATTGCACTGTCTGATTTTCAAGGTATGAATTGCATCTCAAGTTGGCATTTGAAAATCGAGTTTCTTATTACACTGCTGCTCATAGAAATTTTTCTTAGACATCTGATCTGTGGCAAAATTATTGTCCATGTTTCAACTCTATACACTTTATGTGGTTCTGGAAGTGAATTAAATTAAATAGAAATTAAAAGCTTGACTTCTCCATCGGCAAAGACAGATAGAGTATATGCAAGTTCACTTGGTAGAGGACATTCTTGTAAGCAATTGAAGTTTGGTTTTTGAACTGTATATGTGTATAGCTTAGAGCTGATAAGCGAAATGTTTCTACTTCTTGTCACATGGAAGACATCTTTTCCACCTTTTTCCCTTTTTGCTCATTTCACGTGGGATCGTAGAAAAGCTAGTCTGAAGTTGTCAACAAATGTGAAAGCCTTTTCATTTTTATAAAAGAAACAAATTTGAAAAATTTGTGAAATTTAATCGTTAAATAATGTAATTTTCTTCTCAATTTCTGATTATATCCAGTTGTGCAAATTTATGTGTAATTACTATTGCACTGATATTCTCTAATTCCTTCACCACACGATGAATGTTGTTCTTCTCCTCTCCAGGTCAGGCACTCATTGAATTAAAGAAAGCATTGAATGCAACAGGGAGTCAGCTCACAAGTTGGAACGCAGATCATATCAATCCATGCAGTAGTTGGTCCAATATTATATGTAACGGAAACAATGTGACTAAGATGTAAGACATAATTAAATGTACTTATTTGCACACCTTCCTCTTCCATTTTGGAATAATCTTATGAGTAGTAAGATGATCTCTCTCTATATATTTTGATTGGACAGATGATCTATATGTATAACTGTTTATTTAATTGTATAAAAATTTTACTTTCCAGAATAAAAAGTTCTAGTCTGCTAGCTATTTGCTTATATTACATCTATTTTTCTCAGATTATTGTCAACAATGGGATTGACTGGAACCCTGTCTCCGAGTATTGTTGTTCTAAAATCTCTTTCAACTCTGTAAGTAGCATGTTATTTTGTGGACAAGAACTTGCAGCCCTGAATACTTGTTTGCGCAATTTTAGTTGGATTCTTTATTATACTCCAAATTCAGGGTTTTCTCAATTAGTGCAATTTCAATATTATATATATACAACAAACACACACACACACACAATAAATGAAGTTTTAATTCTTCAAACCTGGTGCTTAGACTTTTGTTGTTGTTCGAGAAAGAGCTCTTTATTGCATATGTACATGTAGGATTAAAATTCCGCCATTTGAACTTTCTTTAGATCATTTATTTACAAAAGGTTGTAATTTAAATGGTCCAGCGGCTAC